TCCCAATTTCTTTTGGCCGGATGCGGTGCGGCATGCTTGTGTGGCCAAGAACAGAGCCTTGACTCACGTGGGAGAAGACAAATGGGTGCCCTATGTGGAGTGGATTGGAAGGAAGCTGAAAGTGGATATGCTTCGGGTGTTCGGGTGCATGTGCATGGCATTTGTGCCTAAGAAACTTCGGCACAACAAGCTTGATGCCAAGGCAACATGGGCCGTGCACCTGGGCATGGCTCAAAACAGCAAGGGATGGCTTGTTTGGGACCCATTTACCAAGAAGTTCTTGGTGAGCAGAGATTGCAAGTTCATGGAGAACTTACCATACAAGGAGTGGAAGGCGGAGAACCAAGCGAAGATTGGTGTGCGGCTTGGAGAGGTGAAGAGTACTGGCTTGGAGCATGTGGAGCTGCCCTTGGAGCTGAGTAGAAGCAGCAGAATCACGAGGCAATCTCCCCAAATGAATGGGGATGAGGAGGAGGAGGAGGTGCAGCAAGGTGATGAGTGTGCACCGCCACTTCCGCCTCGTGCTACAAGTGCTCGCAGGAACCGACCAGATTTACCGCAACGCCATGAGAGCATTCAAGTCCCTGCAGCAGAGGAGGAAGGAAGGGGGAGAAGGAGGACTCAGCACCCCAATAGGTTGAGCTATGAACGGCTTGGAGGACCAGCCAACTCAACCTTGACCGGTTCGGCTCTCATGCTAGGCGATGATGCGGAAGATGAAAGCTAGGAGTGCGCTTTTGCCTTCTTCTCTCCGGTGGAGATACCGGGGGAGCCTACAAATCCCAAGGAGGCTTGGGAGGGCCCCAATGGGAAGGAGTGGAAGAAGGCCTCAGATGAAGATATGGGGAGCATCATAGAGAACGACACATTTGACTTGGTGAACCTTCCTCCGGGGCGGAAGGCAATCTCTTCCAAGTGGGTCTTCAAGCGCAAGACCGATGTCGATGGCAACATTGAGCGCTACAAGAGCAGACTTGTAGCCAAGGGGTATCAGCAGTAAGAGAAGAAGGACTACACTGAAATGTATGCCCCTGTGGTGAAGGGTACAACCCTTCGAACCCTCTTCGCCGCGGCGGCCATCAAAGGATGGGTGGTGAAGCAAATGGATATAGTAACGGCCTTCCTCAACGGCGTTTTGGAGGAAGAGACCTTCATGGAGCAGCCAGATGGGTACAATGATGGGAGCGGCAGAGTGTGGAAGCTGAAGAAAGCACTCTATGGCCTCAAGCAAGCCCCTAGGCAATGGTACATCAAGCTGCGGGAAGTCTTGGAGGCGATCGGCTTCACTCCCTCAACGGCCGATCAATCCTTGTTCATGCTTGGCGAGGGGGAGCAGAGGAGCTTCATGGTGGTTTTTGTGGATGACATCCTCATATTCTCACCCTCCTCTGACCTTGTGAAGGATGTGATGCTGAAGCTTCAAGACAAGTTCAAGTGCAAGACCCTTGGTGACGTCAACTACTACCTTGGGCTTCACATTGAGCGAGATGTGGAAAAGCGGTGGATGCGAGTGCATCAAAAGAAGTACTTGCAGGCCTTGGCTGCAAAATTTGGGAAGATTGAAGTTCATGTGGCTACTCCTCTTCCCTCAGGGTTCAAGTGGGTGAAAGGACCAGCGGAGGAAAGTGTTGGTGAAGAGGAGAGGCGGCGTTTTCACTCCTTGGTGGGCAGCCTCATGTATGCGGCCGTTCACAAAAGGCCGGATGTAGCCTTTGCTACCGGGCAGCTGGCTAAGGTTGTCCAATGCCCTAATGAAGATCAGGTAGCAGCTGGAGAGAGGGTGGCCAAGTACCTTGGCCAAACAGCAACTGTTGGATTGCAATACTCTGCGGCGCCACAAAGGCGTCAAATGGGTGCGGATGGAGTCGAACCCGGGAGGCTCTTTCTTACCGCCTTCTCTGATGCATCTTGGGCATCAGAACTTAGTAAGAAGAGTTAGAGATGGAGATGGTTCCCAGCATCTACATACCGCAAGAGCCAAGGTCCTGGTTCGTGGTACACCACCACAGAGTCCCCAACCATGAAGAGTCTCGAAACAAACCCTCCAAGGGGCTACAGCAAGGGAAATGTAACACTTCACGAAGTAGCGTTACTATTTTCACTATTTAATATTTATCCATGTCCCTTGGGCTTGAACGGGTACACGGATAAATTGTAAATAGTGAAAATAGTAACACTACTCCGTATAGTGTTACATTTCACTTGGTGTAGCCCCTTGGAGGGTTTGTTTCGAGACTCTTCATGGTTGGGGACTCTGTGGTGGTGTACCACCAACCTGGACCTCGGCTCTTGGGGTATGTAGATGCTGGGAACCATCTCCATCTCGAACTCTTCTTGCTAAGTTTGTACTTCCAAGACTATAGTGGCTGCTATACCTCTTGCCAGTCAAACCACCATAGCGTCGTCAAATCTTCATGGAATTTCATGATTCAACTTGCTGCTGATAGACGATAGCAATGCGCTCCAGATCCAACTTACAGATCAGCGTTTGATTCAGCGACCAGATCGTTATCAAAGGAGCTCTAAAGGTATTTATCTAGAACTGGTAACTTTTATTATATTTCATCACTAATATTGAATTTTATATATCTTGTATCAAACAGCACTTTTGGTGTTGCATTTAACGAGGAATGGCTTATTACCTTGAAATGAAAATGGAAAGAATCCACATATATCTTTTTTGCGAGTACTTCCCTTTCATATGAAAATCTTATTTTCAAGAGAAAAAGTCCCATACTTTTGCATATTTAATTTTGTTCACAAATTGTTTCATGCTCTTGCTTTTATTAATGCCCATTGTTTTGCAAGGCCACAAATAGTTATTCACATGGCATTCAAACATTTGTCCATTTTATATAGTAAATATATGCTTGTTTAATACTTTCGTGATGAAGCCGCTTTGACGCGGATAGCAAAATTAGGCACCCTAGCGAAAAGATTCATGAAAGCGGAGGATGCCACAGGTCTACGATTTAGCGAAAGCTTGAATGATACTAATCAAGAATTGAATGTACAAGCAAAGAGTCAATCTTATTTATACCGACGAGAACTCTAGGGAAGGGTAACTAGGACCTTCTAAAAGAGTTCTAGAAATGAGTGGAACCGTCCGTAGATACACCATCTAGAAGCATGGTAGGGATTTCGGAGATACGGTGGCGGTTACGTAACAGTACACGCAATAGAAAACGTGTCATGCAAGGAAAGTCTGAATCACTCTGTAACACATAAAATATATAGTATATAAATCTGTAGGGAAAGAGTGTCGGGATTTCTACGAAAGGAAAAACACACAAAATTAACACCCAATAAATAGCAAAGATGCAAATGGATGTGCTCAAGGATTCGGCAAGCCTCGTCCTCTCACAGAGGAAGTTTATTTGCAATTAGGGGGTTGAAACAGGTTCGCACCCATCTTTCTCTTTGTGAATGGTGGAGATTGCCTTCCATTGTTCAGACAGAAAACACATGCAAATTTTAATGGTTCAAATATGCTCGTAATGGCACATATCGGAAAGGTGATGTAATTGAGTTGTGAGAACAGATCGCGACCGTACAGATCAGCAGCTCAATGTTGCTGATCTGTCAGCAAATTCCCTAAGATATTGGGCTTTGCGACCACCCCTAACGCTAGACCCCAACGCTAGGGGCAGTGGACCCCAACACCCCGGGGATCACGGGTCTATACTACCTAGTTCAAAAAAAAAAATTACTTCTAGAAATGTCAAAATGCCAGACATGGTGCCAAAAGTTCTACACTAACATGAAAGACTTTTACCCTATCAAATCTGACTTAGAAATTGTTTTACTTTGGCCGTCACGGTACATTTTTTTCCTACTCTTATTCCTAAGATCGTCCTAAAACCAATTTTGGGCCCAGCACATAACACTTTGCATCATTTCTAACCATCATACGGCCTACAATTTTTCTTCCGTCTTAAGCACTTGGGGGGGGAGGGGGCTTGCGTTACTACCTATCCGCTGTCCTGGTATTCTGTTTGACTAAATACCTTCAACCATGACTGTAGATGCGCTCGCGGATGAACGTTCTCGATTTCCTTGCTACCATTGATGCTCATCCGTACGACAAGCCCGAGTGGAAGCCAATGACATGCATCAAACCTGAGAGCGAGCTTCTGATAGTCAAGCTGAGGCAGCTCAACGATTACCAACGTGCGTAAGTTTGCACTTCGTCTGCATGCATCGTGCGCCCAAATGGCTAAGTTTTATGTGGATAAGCCACGCCTAACTCGTGCTTCTAATGTTGCATTGTCCGCAGACAAGGGCAAGGGTTGGATCAACATTTGGGATCATTGGACGACTGCTACACGCGGGAGCAGTTTTGCGAGTGCAAGCTTTTTTAGCGTGTCTCCAAGGTTAATCTGTGCACAATTTGACAATTAACAAAGCAAAGAGCCGAATGGGAAACAATGGCTTTTGATTGGGCAACGTGGCAAAACATGTTGTGTACCACCTCAAACTCCAACCAACCAAAAAAGTTGCTAAGGGAAGGATCTGTGACAAACACGAGCTTGTAATTTGGGACTGTCAGAATCGCAATGTGTTAGCAAAGCCATGGCATAAGTAACTAGCCTTGTCCAGCATATTTCTCCCTAAGTGAATTATGTAACCCCGACAACCTGCCGTCCTAGCCTCCCTCAGCAGAAGGAGATCGAGGACTGAAGAAGACAGAAAGAGAAGCCCCTCACCAATCGATGGGGACGGCAGTAGCGTGACGGTGGTGTTGAACTTTGTTGCTTAGAGAAGGCTATAAGCAGATGATTCAATGGCTCCTTGGAAATTTCTGCAGCACTTCGTTATGACGCCCAGAAAACTCGCGACCTTCGAAAAGCTATATCCAAAACTCCAATCGGTGAAACGATCTGAAAATCAGATATGTTGTAGCTTGCAGCGTCAGCTTTCCAATGAAAGTTGCATCACTCGATTCCGTAGCTTAACGAGCGAGCTATGGCGTTTGGCGCACTGGGGGGTAATCTGCCCTAGGAGAAGTTGACAATCCTCAGAGTCACAATAATTGAAGCTTACAAGTTCAGAGGCATGATAGAAAAGGCATTGAAGCACAGTTGGAAGGTAGGGATGGAAGGGAAGGATGAAAGGGAAGGACCCTGGAGGCCCATGGTCAAGAACATGACAAGAGTCAAAGTCTTGACTCCCCATCCTCAGGTTCAGCCAGCCTGGCAAGACAAAATTCACACTGTACCAGGTTGGCCTCCAAACCCCAAATGCTGCAGCTGCAGGGTGGGGACAAAAATCCCACACATGCTGGTCCCTCCTCGTTATAGGGCTCTCCAACTTTGGTGTAGCAGCTGACAAGGACTTCCAATGAGTTGTAACAAATCCATCAAACATTTCTTCGTAACTTCTTCATATGTGCTCCGATTCCAACAATTCTTGGCTCGTTGGAATGTGCTCGATGTCATGCACAATCCAAGCACATCTGCACAAGCACAAGATGAACATGCGAAGACATGCAAACCCAACAAACCATACAAACAATGTAGCACACAAAACACATGCAACGAAATGATGCGAACAGACGACAGGATGACGTGCAAACGAATATGCACCAACACACTCCCCCTCAGCCTGTCGGCTTGTTTCGCCGTCTCTAGTTCAAGGACATTCCCGCCATCCTCGCACAGCGCCAGTGTGGCTCTTCAGCTAGCCGCTTGGTAAGGAAGTCGGCTGGCTGTTGCTGAGTTTTCACGTAGATCGGATCCAGTGTCCCAAGCTTCACCTCCTTCCGCAGCCAATGCCACTTGATCCTCATGTGCTTGTTCAACCCATGAAGAACTGCATTGCGTGCCATGGCAATGGCTCCCTTGCTGTCACTGAACAGAGGTGTCGCACAAGTCTGTTCATGGCCGATCTCCTTCAAGAGCCTCCTTAGCCAAATGATTTCTTTTGCCGCATGAAACATTGCCATGTACTCAGATTCCACTGAAGATAGTGCCGTTTCAGACTGCTTCTTGGACCTCCAACTTACAGGCCCACCTCCCACCATGCAGATGTATCCACCAACTGATGATGAATCCTCATGCTCAGAAGCCCACGTGGCATCAGCAAAACAGGAAAGGAACACCTTTCCTTCTCCGAGCTGCTCCCCCTTCTCTTGAAGGACTTCAACTCCCTTTTGCCTGAGTTGAGCAGAGGCTGAATACTGTACTCCCACTGTAGGGTATGACTTGAGGTAGCGCACCACTCTCTCCGCTGCACCACACTGCTCTTCTGTTGGATTTTGCACTACTCGAGCCAGCTGTCCCACAGCAAAGCTGATGTCAGGCCGAGTATGCACAGCAGCGTAGAGTAGGCTCCCGACCATGGATTGGAATTGCCTCTGGTCTTCACTCTCAACTCCTTCTCCTTCAGCTGCCTTTATGAGTTTGAACTCGGAAGGCAAAGATGTAACCACTTCCCGTTCTTCCTGCAGAGAGTACTTCTCAGCCAAGGTGTTGATGTACTGTCCCTGATGCAGTTTGAGCCAGCCACGTTCAGTATCCCGCTCAATGTGCATTCCCAGGTAGTACCTTGCCTCTCCAAGTGACTTGCACTTGAACTGCTCTGTGAGCTTCTGCTGCACCCCATCGATCTCCTTGTCACTGCTGCTGAAGAGCAGGATGTCATCCACGTACACCAGCAGAAGCACAAGCGACTCCCCCTCGCCCATCAGGAATAGGCTTTCGTCGCATGCACTCGCACGGAATCCAATCCCTTCCAGTGCACTGGCTAGCCTGTTGTACCAGCATCTCGGGGCCTGCTTCAAGCCATAGATGGCCTTGTTAAGTTTGCAGACACGACCGGTTCCATCCTCATAGCCAGGTGGTTGAACCATGTACACCTCCTCTTCCACAATGCCGTACAGAAAAGCGGTTACGATGTCCATCTGCTTCACCTTCCATTTGCGCACAGCAGCTACCGCCAGCAGCACACGTAGCGTTGGAGACTTAGCAGTTGGGGCAAACACTTCTTTGTAATCTTCTTTCTCTTTCTGCTGAAACCCCTTTGCCACCAGCCTGCTCTTGTAAATTGATGGCTCTCCTTTCTCATCCGTCTTGATTTTTGCCAGCCACTTGCACTGTATTGCCTTCTTCCCATTTGGCAAGTACACCAGGTCCCATGTGTGATTCTCCATCTGGCTGTTGTACTCTGCATCTCTTGAAACGAGCCATTTCCCCCGTTGAGGCCCGGCTAGCGCATGATCCATGCTCGGAGGTTGTATTGGTGCGTAAAAGCAGTATGCAGGCTCCTCGTCATCTGACTCTTGGTCATCACCCAAGAACAGCACTGCATCTTCGCCTTGAGCCTGTTCCTGCTGCTCAGTTGTGGCTCCTTCACTTGTAGAGCTCAGCAGCTTTCTTGTTGCCATTCTGGTACGTGCAGGGTAGATGGTTGGATTTACCCATTCTTTCACCTTCACCCAATCCTTTGTCCCCCCACCAATCTGTTTCCTTCGCTTTGGCAGACTTGGTGTTTTGGAAGCCTCTTGCTGCTGCTGCTCCGGATCCTTGACTTCAGCATCAGCTGCAATATCCTCATTGCTTCCTTCATTAGTACCGCTTGCCGTTGGCGCAGTGACTTCGCTGTCCACAGGTTCGGACAAATCGAAGTGCATAGTGATCTCTTCCAGCTGCTGGGTGACCCTTGCCTCCGGCTGCTTCTCCCACTTGCCATACATGATGTTCTCCACAAATTTGACATCCCGACTGTCAAACAGCACATTCTTTGAGGGCTCCCAGAGTAGCCACCCCTTGCTCTCTGCCGCAAGCCCAAGGTGCACACACCACAGTGCAGATGCTCCAAGCTTTGTCCTATACGGTTTAGGGACATGCGCCACTGCCATGCATCCGAACACTCTAAGCATGTCCACTGGAGGCTTCTTTCCAAGCCACCTCTCCAGCGGCACCCACATATGATCAGCCACCTTTGTGAGTACGCGGTTCCTTGCCACTGTAGCATGCCTCACCGCATGAGGCCACATGGAGTTCCCCAGCCCTGATTCGATCAGCAGCGCTCGCGCAGTTTCCAGGATGGTCCTATTAGCCCTCTCAGCAACGCCATTTGACTGAGGGGTATAGGACGTCGTTAGCTGATGCTCAATGCCTTGTTTCTTGAGCCACGCAGTCAGATCTCCTCCTAGAAACTCTCCACCTCGGTCGGTTCTGATGCTCTTGCATGGGTGCCCAGATTGTCGCTCGACGAACGGCAGCCAGTCATCTGGTATTGTTGAGGCAGCATGATCCTTCTGCTTCAACGGGTATGCCCACATCAGCCGACTCCAGTCATCAACTATTGTAAGGAAGTACCTTTCCCCCTTACTTCCTCGAACTGGAAAAGGTCCTACCAGGTCCATGTGCACCAGTTCCAGTGCTGCCTTGCTTTTCCCAGCTACGCCGTGAAAGGGGAATCGTGTGAACTTGCTCAGCAGACACGTCTCGCACTTGGTATCATTTGGTTGCCCAGAAAGCTTCAGCCCTTTTACTGCTTCTTCCTTATGCAGTTGCTGCAGCAATGGCATAGCCACATGCCCTAGACGCCTGTGTGCGGTTTCCCAATCAGTCTCCCCGGACCTTGCAGAAACCATCACTCCTGCAGCACTAACTGCATTGCACTCCCCCTGGACTCCAGATCCGGCCTTTACTACTCCCAGCTCCTTCTTTGTTGATTCCCATATCAGCGCAGGGATCTGCCACATGGATTTGAAGACATCTCTGCTTTCGTCTAAATCCCATAACACACGATCTCCTCGCAGCCCCTTGAATGTTTTGGATCCATTGGTGGTGGTGCTGACTCCGGCCTGGCCTAGCTTGCGCAGCGATATCAGATTGGCCTTCAGCCCTGGTACGAGTAACACATCCTTCAGCACAACCAGTCCACCATCAGGTGCTCTGAATGCAGCTCGACCAACTCCAGCGACCTTCACTGCATGTCCGGATGCTGAGCGCACTTCAGAGATTGGAGGCGCTCGCACAGCATCCAGCAAGTCCTTGCGTGGTGTCATTGTCCATGCAGCACCAGAGTCCATGACCCACATGTCAAGCGGGTGCAGTTCCTCTCCAGCCCTTGCAACAGCTGTGCCACTGTCATCTTTGTCACACACATGGTAGAACTGTCCAGCATTCCTCTCCTCATTTCCCATTCCTCTGTCATCCTTGGAGGTTTCTTCAGCAGGATCAGCTACCATGTTGGCACCTCCATGTGGTTGCTTTCCTCCATTCCCCTTTTGCGATTGGTTCCAAGGGGTCCACCAGTCGGGCTTGGTAGAGCAGCGAAACCATGGATGCCCTTCTTCCTTGCAATACCAGCACTCTCCCCTCAAGCGTGGTTCACTGTTGTCATTGTTGGAGTGACCACCTCTTCCTCTTGCACCAGCGCCACCACGCCCCCGCTGGTTCCAAGTCCCGCGACCACCTTGGCTGTAGTAGGAGCGACCGCGATTGCCACGCCCTCGATCCCTCCATGTCCCTTGCATGGCATAGCTGCTGGTGCTGTCATCACCTCCGCGCAGTGTATAGCGACGAAAATCTTCTTCCAGAATCTTGGTGCGAATCCACTCCAATGTCCATTGACTTTGGTTTTGTGGCAAGCTGGGTCCGCTTATAAATTGCAGCCAAGACTCGGGCAGCAGGCTGAGCATCTTGAGACACTTAGTCTGCTCAGGGTACGTGATGCCTGCAATCGCCAATTTCGCGTAGAGTTCCCTCATCTTGTCCAGTACGTGCAGGTTCATTCTCGCTCAACCGCAGCATGGACAGCTCCCGATCCAGCATGAGAGAAGCGGCAACCGATGTCGGAGCGTGCAGGTCCTTGAGCACTGCCCATGCCTTGGGCCCACAATCAGTTTCCGGTAGCAGATGCATGATGTGATGCCTCTGGTTCAGCTCCAAGCTTTGTGACAGTAGATAATACCCAGCAGATGAACGTTCATCCCAGTCCGCTTGCTCTGCCATTTCCTTTGGCCTGGGCTCCGTTCCAATCATGAGCTTCAAGAGGCCGATTTGTCGAAAGTAGAGCTGCATCTTCCATGCCCAATCGTCATAGCCATCTCCAGAGAACTTCTCAATGGTGAAGCTCTTCAGCACTTCCTTAAGCAGTGACCCCTGGCTTCTACGCGCTCCCCTTTGCGCTGTAATGCCAGAATCTTGGGTTGAGCTGCCTCCTTGGACTGAAGTATCACCTCCAGTAGAGTCCTCCTTATCTCCCATCGTAATTTAGGTCCCAAATGTGTGATAATGGGCTCTGATACCACTTGTTGTTTAGAGAAGGCTATAAGCAGATGATTCAATGGCTCCTTGGAAATTTCTGCAGCACTTCGTTATGACGCCCAGAAAACTCGCGACCTTCGAAAAGCTATATCCAAAACTCCAATCGATGAAACGATCTGAAAATCAGATATGTTGTAGCTTGCAGCGTCAGCGTTCCATTAAAAGTTGAATCACTCGATTCCGTAGCTTATCGGGTGAGCTATGGCGTTTGGCGCACTGGGGGGTAATCTGCCCTAGGAGAAATTGACAGTCCTCAGAGTCACTATAATTGAAGCTTACAAGTTCAGAGACATGATGGAAAAGGCATTGAAGCATAGTTGGAAGGTGGGGTGGGAAGGGAAGGATGAAAGGGAAGGACCCTGGAGGCCCTTGGTCAAGAACATGACAAGAGTCAAAGTCTTGACTCCCCATCCTCAGGTTCAGCTAACCTGGCAAGACAAAATTCACACTGTGCCAGGTTGGTCTCCAAACCCCAAGTGCTGCAGCTGCAAGGTGGGGACAAAAGTCCCACACATGCTGGTCCTTCCTCGTTATAGGGCTCTCCAACTTTGGTGTAGCAGCTCCCAAGGACTTCCAATGAGTTGTAACAAATCCATCACACATTTCTTCGTAACTTCTTCATATGTGCTCCGATTCCAACAATTCTTGGCTCGTTGGAATGCGCTCGATCTGATGTACAATCCAAGCACATCTGCACAAGCACAAGATGAATATGCAAAGACATGCAAACCCAACAAACCACACAAACAACGTAGCACACAAAACACATGCAACGAAATGATGCGAACAGACGACAGGATGACGTGCAAACGAATATGCACCAACATCATGTAGTACAGTTGGCTTTAGAGGCCAACATGGCTGATATCTTCACCAGGGCCCTAGTGCCTCGTGACCATCAGCGGTTCTGTACTTAGCTTGGTCTAGTCTTAGTTGCCTCTCCCTTGCTCGTATCCTGATCTGTGCTATACCGACTTTGTACTTGCTACTCTATACCAATTGCCTTGTTACACTTGCTGACTGGCCTTTTGGCACGTGTCTCAATGGTCAGACTAGAAGTGCTACCCTGAGCTGTATTGTTACATACTCCAGAGGCCAGACTATAGTAGTGCAGCCCCGGATTTCTGTTTCTTGTTAGGCTCAGCCCCTTACCCCGGCTAGGGGTTATGTTAACGTTCATATATGTGTCAGGATTTATACAAACTATAGCCTAGCTAGGGTTCAGACTTATATGGGGTACAACTCTGAGATACACCAAACTATATTCCCTTACCGAGTCAACATTCTCTCTCAATAAGGTGCGAGAAAACAAATGGAATGAGCTTGCACATATGGGTGAGCTGGAGCAGGTGTGAGGTGCATGACTTGTCTGCCAAAATGACTCAGGTGACGCGAGCTGGAGCAGATGTGAGGCCGTGATTGGACCTTCGCCAAAATCACATAAGCAGTTTTACGTGAGCTGGAGCATGCGTGAGGGGACTGGACCTTCGTAAAAAATGACGGAGGTGACGCGAGTTGGAGCAGATGTAAGGGGTGTTATTGGTCCTTTGCCAAAATCACACTGGCAGTCCAATGCGTGTTGGAGCAGGTGTGAGGGGCGTGACTGGTCCTTCGCCAAAATCACGCAGGCACTGCAAAACAATTTGTACGCAGTGAAGTCCGATCCGACCTACGGATTAGAAGCTAAAAAATGTAGGCCTGATTAGTCAGATTTTTTTTTTTTTGCCTGACAAGACATGCCACGCCCAAAACCCGACCCTGAAAAATAATTGTCTCACATGGGCGACCCTGAGCAATCAGCCTCCCAATTGAAACAATTTGAAAGGTAGTGCAGGAAACTAAGTATAGAATCTGCAGACACAAGTACTTGAAGTAGAAAGTAATACTCGGAGTATCTCCAGTAACAACCAGTATTAACAAGATGTAACACCAGAATCAGTGTTACATATTCTTTTGATATTTCAAGACTTGAACAAGGATCTTTGCTGGAATGGTAGACTAGTAAGACAACGGAAGTCTTAGAACTTGTAAGTGTTGACCAGAATTTACTCAAGAACAAGTTAATAATTGAGGTTGTACAAACTACTTTTATACCTGCTAGAAGTACCTATTCGGTAATGTACCTGTTCAAAACTATTTGCGCTATGCGCTCTAACCGCTATTAAAGAGGGCGCGACTGTTCACGTGACTATTTGCTGACAGAATCATCCAGACGAGTGCTATTTGCTGACGTCATTCTACGGATGCTAACTACAGTGTAACTCGACAATATCTATCGGAACTACTTACAGAAATGCTTGTTACGATTTTATCACAACACTCCCCTTCATTTCTGGAAGTCCGCTAGTATCACCTCTTGATAATTCCGCAGAGTTCGTTGTAGTACTGGAACTTCTGACGTGTCAGCTTCTTGGTGAGAAAATCTGCAGCCATTTCATTGGTCGAACAGTAGACCAATCGCATTCTCCCCTTCTCAACTTCATTATTTACGAAGAAGTATCACAGCGAAATGTGTTTCGTCCTGTTGGCGAAACCAGGCTGGTGCGCAATTCTGATTGCACTTTGATTGTCGCACTGCAGGGTGAACTGTGTACTTGTCGTCAATTTCGCTTCCTTCAGTAGCTCTTATAGATAGAGACCTTTACAAATAGCTGTGCAGGCAGCTATAATCTCGGCTTCAGCAGGTGATAGAGCTACGAGCTCTTGCTTTGTAGAATTCCAGGAGAGAGTCCCAATAGGTTCGAGACGATAGACGAAGCCGATGCGAGATCGACGATTAGAAGTATCTGCTGCATGATCAGCATCGACGTACCCGTTAAGATATAGAGATTTCGTAGTAGTGACTTGGTAGATAAGTCCGACTTCAGGTGTCGAAACGAAATACTGTGGAGCGCGAAGAAGATCAAGCCAATTCTCCCCCTCAGGTCGACGCAGAAATTGCGCGAGCTGGCTAGCGGTATAGGCGAGATCCGGACGACACGTTACAGCTGCGAATAGAAGACAACCCAGCTGCTGTTGATATAGTTGTAATTCAGTGTTATCGAGTGGAGTGGTATCGGGTTTGTAGTTTGTCGGTAGAGATCGGTAAAAAGTGGTTACGGTAGAAGGTGAGAGGTTAAAGCGTGCGACTAGCGTAGCTGCGTACTTAGAAGTTGTAAGATGAATAGCAGTTGTTGTTTGGTGGAAAGTTAAGGCCGAGGAACTGTGTGACTGAAGGAGTGATAGTAATCTGTAGATTGTGTTGAAGTTTCTGTTCGAGACAGTAGCGAGAAAATCGTTGGTGCTGATGTAAAGTAAGTCGTCGACATAAGCGACGAGTAGAATGTAGTCAATACCGTCGGTAAGTAGATACATTCCTTGGTCGTGTGGAAGCTGACGAAACCCGGCAGTTAATAGCTGATGGTGAAGATATTGCTGCCATAATCGTGGAGCCTGTTTGATGCCGTAGAGAGGCTTTCTGAGACGGCATATGTAGGGAGGATTAGTTTCGTAAGAATGCGGTTACTCAACCAAATTTAAGGCGTCGATAGGTGCATATAAAAATGCATTGGCGACGTCGATTTGTCGAAGTATGAAGTTCCGGTAGGCCGCGATACAAAGGAGGATTCGGACACTAGTGTGTCTGCCGACGGGAGTGAAATTTAACTCATAGTCGAGTCCAAAAGTTTGCTCGAAGCCGCGGACGACCCAATGCGCCTTGAATTTTTCAAAGGAACCATCGGCGTTTGACTTTATATGGAAAACCCATTTTCCGGTAAGAACCTTACTCCCCTTTGTTTCCTTCAACGGGATTAGATCCCAGGTACCTCTCTTTTCCAGAGCTGCTAACTCTCTGTCCATGGCTTCGCGCCATTTTTCCCTATGTTGACTTGTCAAGGCTTGGCGAACTGTTTTCAGTTCCAAAATCTTACTGTTGTTTGACTGTACTGCGACAGCAAGTCCCAATACTTGTAAACCAGCTTCTGTAAAACGCTGACGATTTGAGTTGACACCGGAGAAGTTGTGTTCTGGCCCCTGTTCCCCCCCAAATTCTTTAGGTGTTACACGGATTGATGCTTCGGAGACAACTGGCAATGGCTGCTGCTAATGATCACGTTCATAATCAAGAACGACATCTCGAACATCTTCAGAGTCTGCTTCGCTGAGTGGGATAAACTCGGCAGTTCCAACTGACATGGTTGGCACGGGGATGTCTGTGGTGGCTTCGGAAGACTCAGCGACGGATTCATCCTGTACATCTGCTTCGGCCTCGTCGGAAGCGAAAGCACACAAGCCTTCGAACAGCCTGGCAGGATTGGCAGTTGCAGCCTGGTGAGCACGAAAAACATGTAAGGTGAGTCGTTCGTAGAAAAGACAATCACATGCTGGTACGATTTGACTCGTGCAAAGATCCATAATTTTCCACGCGTAAAACTGCTTCTCGATGCCGATATGTATTCCCCCCTTAGCCCGTTCTGAAAATTTCCCGAGTGCTGCAGTTGGAGGTCGGTATTGAACGATACACCCGAAAACTCTTAAAAGTTTGGTGTTGCCAACTGTTTTTGTCCACTGCAGGTGTGGCGAAGAAGATTGTGAAAGAGAAGTTGTCGACAGCAAGTTGTGCAGAAGAACTGCATGGTCCAAAGCGTAAGTCCAAAAATGTGGTGGCAATGATGCCTGAGTCAGCAAGACTCACATCTTTTCTTGTAGCATCCTGTACATCCGCTCCGCTACCCCCATCTGTTGATGTTGATGTGGTAGAGACCCTCTGTGCCTGATGACCAGGGTTTGAAGATAGTCAGTGAAGGTGGTGTTAGTGTACTCCCCTGCTCTGTCACTTTGAAATTCTTGGAGATTCTCCCTCGATTCCCTTTCAGCCATCGCGAGCCACGCGACGAAGATAGAGTGAGCCATATGACGAGCCGGAATATTTGCCGTCCAAACATACCGAGTAGAAGACTCGATAAAGGAGATCATACAGAGCTCCCCCTTAGGCCCTGCTTCAGGTAAGTCGAGGATGTCGCTGTAAACTTTCTGCATAAGTGTGTATCGAGTTGATCCTAGAAATTGGCTTGGAAAGGGTTCGTAAGGAAGATTAGCAGTTGTGCACGTTGTGCAGACTGCTGGTCGTGAAGACGGTTTCATCTCAGTTCCATCCTGTAAGAGCACACTGTTCTTGTCAAGAACTGAAGCTCGTACTGTATGATTAAGAATCCCCGGAGAAGGATCACCTAATCGTTGATGCCAAATATCCTCTGTTGCTTTGTGTGCTGTTGATTGCAGATAAAAATCAGCGTTAGTATAAAATGAAGAAATGATGAAATGAGAAATCGCCGGTGATTCATCGAGTTGTCCAGGAACAATGCGGGTAAGAGGTAAATTATTGGTTTTAAGTTCCACGTCGAGAAATTCTTATGGTTGCAGAACTAAGTCTCCTTCTTCAATTTCTGATTCTGTTGACTCTGTTGCAGGTTGACCGACGAGAACACCTGTGTCTGCTTCACTACTACTCTGCTGCTCTGCTTCCTCTACTTCACTGCTGCTGATGGGTCCCCAAGATACTGCAGGTTTGTTGTCAAGTTGTTGTACAATGTCATAATAGTTCCGTTACGCTGATGTATCCCTTCGGCTATGTTTGTTGGCCAGGAATCAAGAGCCGTTATGATTGTTGCGGCTGTACGAGATCCCATTGGAACTGCAGTTGCACGGGAGTCTATATAAACCTTTTGAAAATCAGTTTCCTCAGGATGTTGCGAAGGCCCAAGAGATAACACTCTGTCAGAATCTCCAGAAGTGCCTTGCGACTCGAATTGAAGAACGGAGACCCCATACTAAGTGGCGACTCTCCCGATGTAAGTATTAGTATCATTGTGATAAAGTTCCTGGTCCATGGTCTTACAATTGCCTTGTGTTCTGGTCTTATGTCGCACGAGTTGAGCCGTTGAAAGAATATTAAAACCAAGTCCAGCGATGATAAGGACATTCGTAACGTGTAAAGAAAAGCCGGTGTTAATAGAATCCAGCATGACGTTGTCGATTGATCTTGCCATGATTGTTTGCCAATTTGCAACTGTGACAGGTACTGGACATCGAAGAGGATGCTGATGAGTAATGAAGAGCATCTCGGCAGAGCACATGTGTTGTTCACAACAATTGTCAAGATACCAAGTGTTTGGTCCTGCCGATAACTCGAGCGAGATTAGCATAAACTTGAGGTAAGATCATGTTCTCAGGTTGCTCGATGGAACTTTCTTGCTCCTCATCGTCGAAATCTGAATCTGTTGCATGAACTGTTCTAACACGGCTAAAAAAATGTTTTCCTGATGTTGTAGGAGTTGTTGTTGATGGATTATGCTTCATGGGTTGCTTGAACTGCTGCGACTGCTGCTGCACTCCTCATTTCTTATCAGCTTGAAGCTTGTTGCAATATTTGATGCTATGTCCATCCTTTTTGCAATAGTGATAGAAGAACTTGTTGGCACGTTTTGTAGGCGTTGAATAGAAACTGATATTAACTGCTTCATTTTTGTTACGTGCTGTTAGCAGGTCAATATCATGCTTCTCCGCTTGAAGAATCGAGCAAATTTCTGCTTTCGAAAGATTTGGTTGAATGCGAAGAAGGGATCGAAACTGCCGCCATTCTGCTCCAAGGTCGGCAAGAAGAACGGTTACAAACATGTCATTTGGGAAGTATCCACCGCATTTTTCCAATTGGTCACGAAGTGTTCGAGCCCTATTGATATAATCCGAAATGTTCTCGTTGCCCTGCATCTGTACAGTTGTCAGTTGTGAGAGAATTTTACTTACGGAAATTGTGTCCTATGCCAGATACAGCCCCTTCAAATCCTTCCACGCAGATTCAGCTGGAGTCAAGTTGGTGTGAAGCCAGCGTATACCGAGCTGCTCTTTTAGAGACAGATTGCAGATAAGAACTGTATAAGCGCTGAGTCAAGCATGAAGAAAACTTTGTTGTTCCATTTTTGTTCCCGTGACAGGATATGAGTAATCGCCACTGAAGAATGGCCATAATCCAGCAGATTTCGCGAGGAGCTGGAACTCGAAACTCCAAGAGTAGAAGTTAGCGTCATTAAAATGTATAGTTGTCTTGATCCGCGTATTGCTTAAAAGGTTTGGAGCCTGAAAAGCAGGCCCGGTAAAAGAAATCTGCTGTTGCAGAAACCGCTGTTGCTGTTGCTGTTGTTGCTGTTGATTTTGGTGCTGTTGTTGAAGCTGTTGTTGCGCTTGTTGCTGCTCTTGCAGAAATTGGAACTGTTGATGTTGAGCAGGTGAAAACACGAACGAAGAACTGGAGCTTGGAGCGGCTGCAGCTCTTGCATAACTGGAGCCATCGATACTCATACCACTAAATGCCGCTGAAACTGATGCTGCTGCTTGTTGCTGTGATGTTGCAGGTACAGATGACGAAGTCCCCGATGGATGCACAGTAGGCAAAACTTGTTGTTGTTGAGGTATCTCGACTGAAGAATAAGCAGGTGGAAATTTTTCAGCTGCAGAGTTACCTGCTTGGCCTGTAAAAACTGTAGGATTTGTAATACCCGTAGATCCAGTTGTTGAAGAACCAGATGACGGAGCTGACGATGGTCTAGTCATGATTGACAATAGTCCTAATTCCAGACAGCTCTGATATCATGAAAGAATTTGAAAGGTAGTGCAGGAGACTAAGTATAGAATCTGTAGACACAAGTACTTGAAGTAGAAAGTAATACTGGAAGTACCTCCAGTAACAACCAGTATTAACAATATGTAGAATCAGTGTTACAGTCTTGTGATATTTCAAGACTTGAACAAGGATCTTTGCTGGAATGATAGACTAGTAAGACTACGGAAATCTTAGTACTTGTAAGTGTTGACCAGAATTTACTTAGGAACAAGTTAATTACAGAAGTTGTACAAACTACTTTTATATCTGCTAGAAGTACCTATTAGGTAATGTACATGTTCAAAATTATTTACGCTATGCGCTCTAACCGCTACTGAAGAGAGCGCGACTGTTCGAGTGATTGAAACGGTCTGCTGACATAATCATCCAGAGGAGCGCTATTTGCTGATGTCATTCTACGGATGGTAACTACAGTGTAACTCGACAATATCTATCGGAACTACTTACAGAAATGCTTGTTACGATTTTATCACAACACCAATGACCGATGAAGCCCTGCTCGCGCATAACCAAAATCAACTGCACTGAAACGAGATTCCAACACTTGCACCGCACATTACCGTGTGAGTTTGATCTTGACAAATGTATTAGGCATGGCATACCTAGAAGATGGGAGTAAGGGATAGCCCATTCATCTATATATAATTTTATGATGGACATTTGGGATGTGGAGGAACTTGTTATTATAATAATTGTACCTGCCTGTTTCTGGTTTGGTTTGGTTGCATCCACGAACACCGTCGCCTGCCCATGTTTCAACAACATGCGCTTTGGCGCCAACAGAGGCGTGGACTGGTTCGAGGAATTTGGGATTCGGGTCCTTCTCCAGGCACCCCACTGGGGAGTTCCTACCTTGCTACTTAATTTTGCTGGGCGCATTTTGCGTCAAACAAGACTCCCAGTGGAAATCACGCTCTCGAAAACAACAGCAGGAAAATTACCACGCCCTTTTCACATGCATGCTCCACACCAGGTGGGCTTGGGATGGACAGTGGACAAATTGGTGATCCCGCTAATCCATTGAGATGATTTAGGGCTTCCCGAGGAAATTTGGTGTTTTTCCTCATTTGCCCATCTACTTTCTTCCTTCCTTGGGAGTGGTGTGGTGTGGACTAATTTTCCCTGCCCGCCGCTCTCTGGTTGGATAGTGAGCCAACTGAAAAAAAAAAAAACAAGAGGCGACGAGATCGTCTTAGGGTTGCGGAGCATTTCATGATGAGACTTTATTATACATAAAATGTTTTATTTCCATCACAACAAACATTTGATTTTTATTTCACAAACCTGAAAAAAAAAACCAGCCCGATCGATTGCAATAGGTTGCTCCGCAACCCAAAAAAAAAAAAAAAAAAAAAACAACAACAACAAACCTCCCACAAGCGTGTACACCAGGTGTCTGGCGAGTGCTGGAAAATCGACCGGCCCCACCCCCGAATCTGCGCCCATTCGCCTCCAATCATAGGCAACGGTCCTTTCACCTGATGGCCCATTCACCTGGGATTTGTGGCACCTGCGACACGGAGGAGGTCAGCATGTCCTTGCATACAATTTTAAAGAATACGCCCCCTTTCAAATTTCCACAATAACCGCGCATCGTCGTGACGCACCGTAATGCACCTCTCACATATCTTCAAAGGAGGTATTTTTAGAACTACTTCCTACGCAAGTCAGAAATTCTGACACGAGTTTTACGTTTGTGCGAAAAGCCTGTGTCCACTTTATAACCCATTCTCCTGTGGCGATATCACGCGAAATAATTGTTTGCATTTCGCCCACGCGGTTTGTCTAAATCGAGAATGTACGGTGCGCACTCGGTGTACTGCGCCAGCTTGACCATCCACCTGCGGGGAACAAATTCCACCTGACCTTCCCGTCACTTGTCTGTGCCTTGCTGCAACATGTCACCTGATGCATTTTCCGTCACGTTTCTCCATCACTTTGTGGCTCGAAAGCTTTGTCGAGCATTCTCGTGTTACATTTCGGCTAGGTGTTTCTTGTACTGTAAAAGCTGGTCCATCGGCACATGTTGCGGTGGTGCGTACAGGGTCTAGGAATTTTCTTGTCTCGTAGCCAGCCAGCTGAACCAGGAAGTACAGAACAGTAGCACACGCTCCCCTCCCCCCCTCTCGCACACCAGCTTCTCTGGCTAGCAGGTTAACCACCCATAATATAAAGATATTAAGTGTAGTTTTTGGGATGCACTCCATTTTTTACAGAGCGAACTTCCTTGATTCCGTCCACTAATCGATCGGGTTTCGTTGGATTTGTTGACATAACGGGCTACTTTCCATTGATTCCGTATGGAGTGCACTTGTTGAGGGAACTCAGTCAAGGTATACTACATCCCCACCATCCCCCCCCCTCCTACCATACCCCACCCAACCCCCCCCTCCAGCCCCCTGTTTCGTTCCCTAGCTGGTGTTTTAGATGCAGGTAAGCGGAGGGCTTCTCCCGAACCGCCTGAGCCAAACCTCATACCCTTTCGCTTCCCTGGGCTCTGCATAAGCCGTGGCAACGACCCCCAGTCTGTGGGAAGTGTATCACAAACGGACAAACGGGTAGTCTTTCAACGAATCCTTGCGCTACCGGGTATGTTTCAGGCGATTCCATCCGCTAACGGGTAGTTCTGGGGCTGATTCCGTTCCCTAACGGAATGCCATAGGTTTTAGCGTGTACATCACACAACTCCGTTCAGTTCCATGTCCCCCCCCCACCACCCCACCAACCTCGACTTCGCAGGCTGCCCTCCACCTCCCTCGCTGCAGGCCTCGGGTCGCCCTGCCATCCTCCATCCGTGGTCATTATCAATCCAATCCCCAACTCAACCTTGCACCCTATGGTTCCATACCATCATGCCTGCCCTCTCGCGTACAGTACAGTACTCGCCTTGTTTTCCATCCCCACCCAGCAGCACTGCTCAACTGCACCTTCCCCCCCTCCCTCCCAGTCCCCCAGACCAGACTCTTATCGAGTGCTGCAATTTTTGCCTCAGACGACAGGTCACAATAGATTCCACCTCCCAGCACTAGGTCACATCGACGAACGGATTGGAGTAATTCTCGACTTAGCGTTACGACATACCTCTGCTCGTCTCGCCAGTGCATGATGCGTTCGCCTGCGCGTTAGGTGGTTCAGCCTGCAAAGCTCCCAGTGTTATCTCCTCTCGCCGACTGCCGCATTCGCGCTGTAAGGCACCCCCCCTACCCGCACCAGCATCCGATTCCCCCACAGCCTCGGGAGCGGTTCCACCTTTCCTGCATTGCGTGCGTGCGTCCGCACTCCGCCTCTCGTCCTCCCTCCAGTGCCTAGCTTTCCGCGCGGCGTCGCATCATTAGCGCCACCTAAGCCCGCAGTTTCCAAATCCATAATAGCCGGAGAGAACGCACTCCAGTAGGTCAAGCCGTTTACTGCCCGCCCACCACAGCGCCATGAATCGCGTGAGGCTAAGGCGTTCGTCGCCGTCGATCGCGCGCAGCGCAGCAGCATGGAGCGCCATGACGCTCGTCGCCTTAGCTCTCGTTGCGCTACTCTTCCCCCTCACGACTTTCGCCGCTGATGGTATCACGCCCTCTCACCTCCTCACTCTCTTTCTTCGCCAAGTTCGCGCTCTCATCGTCCCCATGTCTATCCCTTTCCTGTACGCACCCGATCCGAAAACGTCAACTCTTCCCTCCCCCGCATTGCCGCGCCTGCATTCTCCCCCCCCCCCCTCTCCTTGCATTCCCCCAGATTCCGCGCTCTACGTGGTGCAGCTGCGCTCCGCGCCGTCCGTCGCTGAGTACACGGGTGGCATCGCGGGATACCCAGCCACCGCCGCCGTCGCGCGCTTCTTCAATGCCGCGGGCCGCCTCTTCCGCCGTCGCCCGCGGATCAACTTCCGCGGAAGCGCCGTGCGCGCGTTCCAGCAGTTTCTGAAGAGGCAGCAGGAGCAGGTGGCGCGGGACGTGAGCCTGGCGGCGAACAAGCTGCTGTACAGGTGAGCGCGCACGGCACGGCTGTTCGTGCGGCCGCGCTTGCTGCAGGCGCGCGCTAGCTTGGTTGCTCTAGACGCTGCGCGGACTATGGTGTGAGGGGGAGGCAGGAAAGAGGCAGCACAAGGGAGGGTTCTCGGCGAGTTGGAGGCCATGGCGGTGCGCCTCAACAGCGTTGCAACCTCGTGGGCACATTGTAAGCCACAAGCCGGAAAATTCTTCGCCTTAGGCCTTTCGTGCGCGGCCATACGCGATGCTCTCAACCATTCACCTCCCCATGCCGCCCGCTCTGCATCCTGTCCCGGTCGGCCCACCTCCGTCGTCCTCTTCCACTCCACGCTGCCCACCACCATATCCTCAACCCCTCTCACACACTCCATCCCTCCCCACACGCTCCCCTCTTCCTGCCGCCCCACCTCCCGCCCCCCCCGCCGCAGCTACACGCACGTGTCGAACGGCTTCGCGGCGTCGCTGACCGCCATGCAGGCGCGGCAGCTGGAGCGGCACCCCGACGTCCTCAGCGTGACGCGCAGCAGAGTCATCCGCCGCTTCACGTCCGCCTCGCCCGCGTTCCTGCAGCTGCCGCCGTCGCTGTGGGCCGCGGCGGGCGGGCAGAGTAGCGCCGGGGAGGACGTGGTGGTGGGGATTATAGACACCGGCATCTGGCCCGAACACAAATCCTTCGCCAACGACGTACGCTCGCACTGCTACTGCTACTGCTACTGCTGCCTCTCCCCCGCGGCCACACGCACATAGCCCCCATGGCCACGTGCTCCCCCTCACGGCCCTCCTGCCTCGCACTCAAGCCTGTCTCTGCCTGTGCTCTTCACCCATCTCTTCCTCCCATCCCCCTTCCCCCGCAGTCCGCGCACGTGTACGGCAAGCCCCCCGCGCGGTGGGCGGGCGGGTGCACGGTGACGAGCGACTTCCCCGCGACGGCGTGCAACGGCAAGATCGTGGGCGCGCGCGCGTACTACTCGGGGTTCAAGCGCGAGAACCGCAACCGCCTCGACTCGTCCGCCAACTACGTGTCGCCTAGGGACGACGACGGCCACGGCACGTGGTGTGCGGGGTGAGTGCACGCATGTGGCGGGGGTCAGGGGTCACTGCGCTCTCTCCCATCCCCTCCCGCCCCTCGCTTTTCCCAGTGCGGTTTGAGTTCGCCAGCGCCTGTGCAGGTGTGTGAGTGCCGTGGCTGCCTCTGCAGCCGGTGTCCCACAGCCCGCTGCTCCTCCACGCCACCCACACACATCCCCTCCCTGCACACCTTCGACGCACCTCCTTCCACGTTCTTCCTCACACGCTCCCATTCACCCCTCCCTCCCTTCCCCACCATCTCTCCCTCCGACGACCCCCCCGGCAGGGCGGCAGCGGGGAACGGCGGGCTGGTGTTGGGCAACAGTCTGGGCACAGCGAGCGGCATGGCGCCGCGCGCGCGCATAGCGGTGTACAAGGTGTTTTGGAACGACGGGCAGTACGTGTGGGCCACGGACGCCGACATCAACGCCGCCATCAACCAGGCCGTGGCGGACGGGGTTGACGTGCTGAGCCTGTCGCTGGGCGCCGAGGACCCCACCGCCACCTACTTCAGCGACCTGCCATACCTCAACGCCGTTGCTGTGAGTGCCACCTGCCATGCGCTGCCCGTGCTGCCTGGCTCCCCCTTACAAGGCTCTCCCCCCTTGCCTCCCACCGTCCACTGTGGCCGCCTGGCCAGCTGTCCACACGGAGCTGCTTCTCCCGCCTTCCTCTGCCATCACAACCTTCTCCCCCTCCTGCTCCATCCTCGCCTATCCTCCCTTGCTGCTCCCTCCCACTCTCCTCTCTTCACCTATTCACTTATCCTCGCCCTGCGCGCGCCCTTCTGGTACTCGTGCAGGCAGGAGTGGTGGTGGCCTTTGCGGCGGGCAATGCGGGGACGCCATGGCAGGGGGGTAGCAAGTACCGCACTGTGGATAACTTTGCCCCGTGGTACATCACCGTGGGCGCCAGGTGAGATGCCCGCGCGGGCGCGCACACACATTCCCCGTCCCTCAGACACTGCCGTCTAGCTTTCGGCTCTATCCTCACACATCAAACCACCCAATTCGCCCCAATGCCACTTTCCAGTCTGCTCGCCTTAATCACCTTCCCTCCTCCCTCTGTTCTTCCTTCCCTCCTCGTCCCTCTTTGCCTCCCACAGCACCATCAGCCGAGGATACTCCATGACAGCCAAATCCGTCACCTTATCCTCCTCCTCCTCTTCCTCCTCATCCGTTGCCATCCGGTCGGCGTCAGCGGCAGCAAAGGAGACCTCTTCTCAGAACACCACTGCCACCGAGACGCCTCCTGCTGCTGCAACTGCTGCCACAGCCAGCAGCAGCAGCGGCAGGGGGAATGCTAGTGCGGGAGTGGCAACGGTGCATGAGAGCATGGCGTCGGTGCGCGCCTTCATGTCGGGCTCTCTCACGTACGTGCCGCTCCTGCCCTCACATACGGGACCTCATGCGCACTCTGGGGACAGTCTCAGTGGTGGGGCTCGTTTCAAGTGTAGGGACAGGATCGCTTGTGCTCGTGCATGCATGCGATGAACCAGCTGCAGCTGTGCAACAAGCACTGCACTTGCACATCGTTATTTCCCTCTCCCTCGTGCTTTCCCCCTGCCCACCCCCTTCCGTCCGCAGCACTGCGGCCACTCGCTCCACTCCCGAGGCCCCGCTCATTGCGTCCTTCTCCTCCACGGGCCCCCTTGTCCCCCCCTCCGCCAACCCCGCGGCCCCCAAGCCCACCAACGACATCCTCAAGCCCGACATCATCGCGCCGGGCGTGGAGCTGTGGAGCGCAGGCCCGGGGCAGTACCTGGGCGACCCCAACAGCTACTTCACGCCGCTCTCGGGCACCTCCATGGCCACGCCGCACGTGGCGGGCGTCGCTGCGCTTCTGGTGCAGCGGTACCCCGCGTGGACGCCCGCCATGGTCATGTCCGCCATCATGACGTCAGCGGCTGTCAGCAACAACAAGGGTTTTGGCATCCGCGACTCGTCCAGTGAGTTTGCGTCGCCGTGGCAGATGGGCGCGGGCCACGTCAACCCCACGGGGCTGCTGGACGTGGGGCTGGTGTACGATGCGGACGCGCTGGACTTCAAGAACTTCCTGGCGGGGCAAAACTCCGCCAAGGCCAAGGCGGCATTCAAGGGCGTGGCGCTCAAGGCCATGAAGGCATACAACCTCAACCGCCCCGCCATCTCCGTCACCCGCTTCGTGGGGACCGTGGTGGTGACGCGCGAGGTGACCAACGTGGGCAATGCCACGAGCAACTACAAGGCGGACCTGGTGGTGCCGGACGGGGTGAAGGTGACCGTCAAGCCGAGCGCCTTCAGCATCGGCCCCAACGCCACGGTGCCCTTCAACGTGACCATTGTGGCGAACCGCACGGGCAGCACCGCCTTCTCGTACGGCAGCCTCACCTGGCGCGACGAGTGGGGGCACGCCGTGCGTTCCGTGCTCGTGGTGCAGCCGCTCAAGCTCAAGTGACACAGCCTCACCCTCACCTCACGGCACGGCGCAAGGCTGTGAGGGATAGCACTCTCACGTCTTGCATGTGGGCAGATGAGAGGTGTGGCTGTGGGCAGCGCAGCTGCAGTCCCTCGCAGCGCATGGCGCGTGAGGGTCAGTGCGCTGCTGACAGGCGCCTCAGCGACTCGCTGATGTGCCATGTGTTTCGACTCAGGCCTCAGGATATCAGGGTAAAATACCCTTAGGGCCCTTATATTAAGGCTGGGGTGGGTGTTGGACCCAGGGCACATGTTAGCAGGGTGATTTACCCTGTTCACTCTGATTTTCAGGGTGCTCGGAGCATGCTGGTCGGATATTTCAGAGTATGATTTTTTTTTTATTTTTTTTTAACTCTTACGCTTTCAGAGTACACTTTTGTAACGCCCTGTAAATTATAGAGTGCCTTTGTTTCCCGCCCTGACTGGAAAGGGTGGCCCAAAATTTCACCCAGACCAGTGTTTGTCAACTTACCATACATTTGCATGTAGAAGTTGTAGGCTAGAATAGGTGTGTGTTCTTAGAGAGTACAACCCAAACCCTATATCTCCCTTGTTCACTCTCCTGTTTGGTCATTCTAGTATTCTAACATGGTCATTCTAGTATTCTAACATGGTATCATGAGTAGGTTAGGTCCAGGGCCCTAGATTGGTTTTGAGGCTTCCTGACCCATCAGGATTCTCCCTGCAGAAAAGTCTGAATTTTCAGGGTCCCCTAAAAAAAAATCCTGAACCATCAAAATTACTTCAAAAAAAAAAAAAAAAAAAAACGGATTTTTCAATCTTTCTATACATGTTTTAGTTCATAAATTTTGTGTGTTCAAGTCTTGGTTTTTTGGGGTGCTGGGAATTCGTAGCGAATTCGCGCGTGTGTGGCGAGATAGGGGGATGGGCAGGAAACGACAATTGGTGGGGGGGAGAGGGGGAAGGGCTGAATAGGGGGGGATGCGACGAGATTGCAGGGGCAGAGGGAATCTCTTCCCTCGCAGAGCCCTAGGGCAGGCGCACATCAAGCAAATTCGGCCAAGGGCCAACAATTGCCCTCACACAGTCCTCATCACACCTCCCTCACATGACCTCCAACATACAGCACGGAGATTTTTTGACC